GTTACGAAACATATTTATTTGTAAGATTAAGCTTAGGGTAAAATAAAACATTCAGGGATGGGTACCCAATTGGTGTTACTAGAGTGGTATTTGTTGCAATACGTATGAAAACAAATTTCGGAATTTATAACATTCATCAACTCCTGTACCAAGAAATATGTACTATTCCAATACATTGAGAAAGTTAGTGAGACATTTCTGGTTAACATTCGGATTAAATAAATTACAAATATTAATATCTAATTACAATGGCTGTAAAATTAAAAGTTATCGTTTCTTATTCAATATTGCGATAGTTTAAATTTCCAAAAAATTAAATATAATATACCACTGTGGTAGTCGATTTCTTTTGACCCGAGTGGTATTTATTGATCTCGATGTCATCTGAGGTGATGTAGATCAACAAAATATCAACTCCACACCTTAGCAATATTCATGTTCTTCTGTAGATGAATAACAAGATTTAATTTAACTCTTACCTGGTCAAATAATTGTAAACGTACATGTATTGATGCTAATATTTATAGATAACTCATAGCATATATCTCCACTGTTAGCTAAGAACAATAATTCCATTTCCCTTTACCTCAAATATTAATGTAACTCTGAATACGTTGATTATTCTCTTGTATACATAGATGTCATTATTATGAATACTATGTTATCATTTCGATGACTTGAAATATCAAGTGGATGATGAGTTTGCTCCGTATGCTTCTTGGAGAATCACGGGTCTTGCTAACATCTCCAAATTAATGTAACCTCCCGTATCGTTATTGGTCGTAGTCAATTGTTGGTAAATATTGGAATTGACAATGCTGAGATCGGCGTAGTGAAGACGAGGATCACCGTTCCTTACTTCTGTATTTTCCGGTGTGGTATTTTGTGTACGACCACGATGGCGTCGACAGCAAAGTATTAACACTAACGTAACTGTTCCAATCACCAACCCCACAATAAATGATACAACATATCCTACATAAATTAGAAAATAATCTTGTTCAGCTGGTGCTGTTTCATGGGTATCTTTTGTTGTGGTGTCTGTTGTACTTATTACATTACGAGAGGTGTTCTCACTGGTCGTCTCAGGTATGAAGGTAGTGGGCGGTGAGACAGTCGCATATGTGGTCGTGGCTCGTGGCGGTGAACGTATTTGTAGATATCGTACTGCTACTGCTTGGCCCTTATCGTTGTCGGCAATGCACACATATGACCCAACTAAGTCATTCTGCACAGATGGTATAAAGAGACTACCGTCTGGTTCAAGGCGGACTACAGAATCACTCTCAGTACCAATCACAATGCCATTAGGAGGTATCCATTGGATATGTGGAAGTGGGACACCATTAACATTAACAGTCAGTGTTATGGATTCATCTATTCCAACATACACCCATTCAAATGAGTTGTTAAATGTTGGTGGGACACACTGAAGATCTGATACTGCTAAATTGACAATGTTTGTTCCGGTATACTCGATTGGATATTGACAGATTAGTTGGGTATCTACTTGTGTGTTATTGTGTATCCATCTCTTGAAAGCCTCCATGTGACAGTCACATGACCAAGGATTTTCGGAGAGTCGTAAGAATTGAAGTGCTGTTAGATTGTGAAAACTTGGTAAATTGCTCAGTTCATTGCCAACAAGGTATAGATGGCGGAGATTTGGTAAACTCTGAATAGTGTCGGGCAACTGTGTGAATTTGTTATATCCAAGGTTCAAATAATTTAATTCTGGTGGAAGCTGGGGTAAATGTGTAAGTTTGTTGAATCTGAGTCCCATGTTATATATTTCGGGGAAATTAACAATTGTTTCAGGTAGAAGTGTTATGTCATTGCTATTCAAATAAAAATAACGTAGATTTGGCAATCCATAAATATTTAGTCCGTTTTCTTTTATGTCTTGTGTAAATGATAAATCTGTGAATCTATTATGCGACACTTCCAAGGTGACCAACTGTGTGACATTATGGACTGTTAACAATTGTAGTTGGTTTGACTTAAGAATTAACCACAACAATCCAGTCAGTGGTTGAAATATGTCACGTGGCAAAGCAGTTAATTTATTATTGGAAAGGTCGAGTAATTTTAAACGTGTCAATGTAATGAAATGAGCAGCAGATAAAGATGTCAGTTCATTACCACGAACATTCAGGAATGATAGTTTTGTCAATGAATGGAATATCGTTGATGGTAATAATGTTATGTCATTGTCGTAGAGGCGTAACACATGTAGATTGTATAACCCATCAAATAATGACGAATTCAATGATTGTAGATTGTTGTAGGACAAGTCAAGTGTTGTTAAATCAGTCAAGTTGTGAAATATTCCACTTGGTAAAGATGTCAATGAGTTGTGGGATATATTAAGTTGTTTTAGGTTTGATAACTCTTTAAAAACAGTTTCCGGTAACGATGTTAATTCGTTACTATGTAATATAAGTTCTGTTAAGCTGGTTACGCCAGCAAAAGCACTTGATGAAATCTCAGTAATTCCGTTCCATCCGAGGTTTATGTAAACCAGCCCGTACAATTTTGACCACGGGGTGAAGTACGTAAGTGATTTGACTGATGAGAATGGGGAGGTTTTGTCGTTCAATCAGTTCCAGACTAAATTTAATATAAAGTCAGATTTTATTAAATATTATGGTTTAACGTCCGCAATCCCTACAGAATGAAAATCTGCATTAAAACGGCGTACGTCGCCAAAGGAGACGAGACCTATTTGCAAAAACTATAGGCGATATAGCAAATTCAAATGTAATGACTACTACAATGTTTTAAGAAATTCAAAATTTGAGAAGGCCACTGCATTAAGCACTTTTGCTAGTAAACAATATACAAATGATGTTGACTGGCAGGAAGCCTGGAAACAAATTAAACAGATAACAATTAACGAAAAAATGCGCGGAATTCAGTATAAGATTTTGCATCGAATTTTTGCGACAAATGATTTTCTATACAAAAATAAGAAAATTGACGATGACAAATGCAAAAACTGTGACCTAAAAGAAGATCTAGAACACTTGCTGTGGGAATGTGAAGAAAGCCAGAAATTCTGGCAAAAATTTAAAATATTTTGGATAAATATATGTGCCGAAAATATCAATATTTATAAAAAAGAGGTAATCTTTAATTCTTGTGGTAAAAGTATCTTTCAAGCCCGGTGGAAACACTTAATTTTACTTGGGCAATACGAATTATATATTGCGAGATTCAATAATTCTAAACCAAACTTGATCTTATTCATTGAAAGAGTAAAACAAACCTTTAACTTAGAAACATCGATCGCAGAACAATATAACAAACACGAAATATTTGTTACAAATTGGAAAATATAATGAAATATCTAGAAAAATTATAATAATGTAAATATATATATATATTTATAACATGAGCGACTTTGACCTTGTTTTTTGTGTTTTTGCATTTGTATTACGATCAACTGTTTTTGTTCATGTTTTTTGTGTTTGTATTTAAAAAAAGTTAATCCGTATTCTGTTAGTTAACTATTATGCCAAACTGCAATATACGATTAATTAAAAGTTGTGCATTGTATTTATTACATTACACTTCAATATACGATTAATTAAAATATGTGCATTGTATTTATTACATTACACTTCAATATACGATTAATTAAAATATGTGCATTGTATTTATTACATCACACTTTAATATACGATTAATTAAAATCTGTGCATTGTATTTATTACATCACACTTTAATATACGATTAATTAAAATATGTGCATTGTATTTATTACACCACACTTTAATATACGATTAATTAAAATATTGCATTGTATTTATTACATCACACTTTAATATACGATTAATTAAAATATTGTGCATTGTATTTATTACATCACACTTTAATATACGATTAATTAAAATTTGTGCATTGTATTTATTACATCACACTTTAATATACGATTAATTAAAATGTGTGCATTGTATTTATTACATCACACTTTAATATACGATTAATTCAAATCTATGCATTGTATTTATTACATCACACTTCAATATACGATTAATTAAAATCTGTGCATTGTATTTAATACATAACACATCAATATACGATTAATTAAAAATTGTGCATTGTACTTATTACATCACACTTCAATATACGATTAATTAAAATATGTGCATTGTATTTATTACATCACACTTCAATATACGATTAATTAAAATCTGTGCATTGTATTTATTACATCACACTTCAATATACGATTAATTAAAATCTGTGCATTGTATTTAATACATAACACATCAATATACGATTAATTAAAATCTGTGCATTGTACTTATTACATCACACTTCAATATACGATTAAAAAAACTATTTCTCGTCAAATGACAAAAAAGTCACAAAAACATGGAATGAGCAGAAATCGCTTATCCTTTGAAAGCATATATTATGACCTGCCATTGTACAAGTTTGAACCGAATGATTCCAGGAATACAAAATCATGGAAGAAAATGGTTGCCAGTAGTTCATTTTGAATTGAAATATATAAAGAACTGAACATACATCAGATATACAAACATAAGTGTATTCCAGGGGTGTTACTGTAGTGGTATTTGTTTCAAAAATGAGGCAGACAAACATCGGAATGTATAAACATTTATCAACTCGATTCTGTATCAATGAATATGTATTTTTCCAATATTACAAATATTATTACAATGGTTGTAAGATTGAAAGTTGTCGTTTGAATAGTAAGATGCTTAGTGGAAATTGTCGTGAGTCAAATTTCAAAAAAAAAAAAAATATAATATACCACTCACTGTCATCTGACTACAACCTAAAACAGTCAATGTGATATCAACAATATTCTATAGTAATCGATTTATTTAGACACCAGCGGTATTTATTCACCTCAATGTCATCTCAGGAACTGTGGATTAAAAGATTACAACTCCACATCTTAGAAATATTCATGATATTCTGCATATGTTCGAATTAACGTAATCTCCTAAGGCGTTATCATTCGGTGTTAATTGTTGGTAAATGTTGGAATCTTCAATGGTGAGTTCGGCGTAGTAGAGACGGGGATCATCATTAATCTTATTCAGAGAAGGAAGACCAATGTTTACTTCTGTGCTCTCTGTTGTTGTATTTTGTTTACGACTACGATGACGTCGATAGCAAAGTATAAACACTATCGTAACTGTTCCAATCACCAACCCCATAATAAATGATACAACGTATCCTACATGAGTTGGTGAATAATCTTGTTTAGCTGGCGCTGGTTTCATATTTATTTATTATCAGTGGGACTCATATAAGTTCTGTTAAGCTGGTTACGCCTGCAAAGGCACTTGGTGAAATCTCACCAATTTCGTTCCATCCGAGGTTTATGTAAACCAGCCCATACAATTCGATAAAAGCATGTTCCGGAATTGTTGTCAAATCATTATATGCTAACACCAATCTCGTAGAATCAGATGGAATATTTAAAGGAATTTCAGACAGACTCCTGTGACTGCAATCGACATGCAACTCTCCATCACTATTTTGACAACTGCATACAGATGGACATCCTTTCAGTGTACCAGAGTTCATCAGCAATATATACACCACATATATGAAGAGAGTGATTTGCCAACTAATTTTGTTATGATGGTCTGTAATAAAAAAATTATTATTGTTATTTGATTGGGAGCCAAGTACCATACACCTGAATATTGTATCTAAGAGCATATTTCCGATAGGAAGGCCAAATTATTCTGATTAACAATACACTGAAATGCAATATATTTGTACGACATGGGATTGAGTTTTCTTTCTCGACTATGAAAATTAACAGTTGTTGGCTCGGCTTTTGAGACTTATAGCGGTGAGGTGTGTTCAAGTGGTGACTGGTGAATACTAGTAGCACAGTCAGCTGGTATTATTATTATTTTATTGGATGTACAATACACCTGAATATTCTGATTAACAATACACTGAAATACAATATCTGTGTACAACATGGGATTGAGTTTTCTTTCAATGAAAATGAACGGGCTTCTTGCATTGGTTTTTGAAACTTATAGTGGCGTGGTGCGTTAAAGTGGTGACTGATGAATACCAGTGACTCAAAACTAAGTTGTGGGTGTCGGAATCCAGCAATAACTTGACTTGTCGAGGGGTCACGACTTACCGAAGAGCCTCGTAAAAAGGCAATATTTCCGCATTGTAAATGTATAAATAACACTGATACATATATGGGTTTAATTATAGTATTTACTTCCTTCATTGAAAAACAACACGACTACACAATAACATATCGACAAACGGTATATCGTTTCGTCATACGTAGTCCTAGAATACTGGTATATGTACTTAAACAAGAGCGAGTGTAATGATTTCATCACATTGCAGTGAGTTTTATAAGGCCTTATAAAAGTACTGGCCGACAAACGAGCTTACATCTTTAGTCCCGTCCCGAAAGCTTCTTATCTTAGTAATTAACAGGACAGTGGGAGTTGAATGTTGGTGACATCGACGGAGTTTGAAAAATCTTTGGCACCCTTTGGAATCAATAGTTAATTTCTTTAAAAACTACTGCAAAAACATTTAATAGAAGTATCAGGGTGCCATCCAATACCCGCAATTTATTAAGGCATGTTTTTGCCTGTGCAAACGCTAAGTACAGGTTAAAT